GGGACCAGGCGTCCCGCCGCTCCAGTCCTCCGGGGCGAGAAAATCCCCGTTCGTAACTGCGGATCCAACATAAGTCGGATCCGCGTAACTCGGGGACTGCCTGTACTCACCTTATTTCTGCATTAAAGCTGGATTTCTCCCTGCCCCATTGTCTGACATGGAGTCATGTGGCTACACTGGACTGTGAAACTTGTTTAATTTGTTAACTTACTTTCTTGTTATACATAAGAACATGAAGAAGCGAAGTCTGTCATCAATCTCCATTCTAAATAGTTGAATCCAAAAGTATTCATACCATAATAACTATCAGTAACAAACTGAAGAATCACCAAGAAAAATGAGCATCATAGTAATTTTTGGGTGAACTGAAAACATTACTAGAACAAAGTTTCACGATAAGCTTGTTATCAATTACTTTTATTTGTTCCTACCAGTTTTGTTCTTGTACCACATACATGATTTAGATATCATTGTGATAGTGTATTAATACAAATTTATTTTGCTAAATCTTTATTCAATTTTAATCTTCTTTACCAAGTATATTTTAAATAACTTAAATTATATGTATATGAATAAACCCCTTTGTTTATAATTAATATATTTGATTTACAGCTATACATTCACAATAATTAATTTCCACTTTTTTATGCCTCCTTTATAATCTATGAAAAGATGATGTATTTACATAAGGAGAAATCAGCTACCATATTTAAAACAAGTGTGTTAGCATTGGGTTCATAAGATAAAGATTATCTGTAGCTCATTACACTGCTATGTTATTCATTAAAAAAAACCTCTTATTTAACAATAGGACCATACGCAAATATTTATGTAAATAGATATTTTCGTGTTGATATTTTGTGGTACTCACATAACTTTTTATTTAGTGTTCCATGGCATTATTACTTCATTTTTCTTATTTGTAATGTAATGTTTTAGATCAAAGTAGACTTGAATTAATGTCATAATTGTCAGTATTATTGAACTTTGTCAACTGTACTCTCATTCATCTGTCCCATAGTTTAGAACATGATCTAGCTATTTGGCATTGTTGCAAGTGCCTTAAATTCATGGCATCCTATAAAAATACAAATTTGGTGTTATGCTGCATGACAAAGACAAACACACCTCAAAATGTTGTCCTTTCTTAGCTTGCTACGTTTTACAGTTCTTTCTGCTAACAATTTATAAGCCTTTATTATATAATATTGATGAATTACAGAAATGATGAAGTTGTTCTCTTATTTCTGTTAAATGTATCAGAGCTGTGAATCTGTTAATGAGATACAGCGTCATTTCTGTGAAATGTATAAATGTATGTGCAGGTCAAATTAATATATGACATACTATCAGTCTGTATACAGGTATTCCTGTTTTGCTAAGCTGTGCAGATTTAAAAAACTATAGTGCAGTAAAGTTCTAACATATCATATTTTATAAACTCCATTAGAAATGTTCCATGCAGATAAATGATTAGCAATTAACTATGATTTACACCAAACAAAATCACATGTCAATGTGAAACCAATGACTACAAAAGAAATACCTTGTTGCACCACTCAACAAAACAGGATCAGTGCTTTATATGAGCTCTTGTATATGCAAATCATTTCTGAGGCAAGCTCTCAACACCTAGAAAGCTAAATATTGAAAGTGTGTTATTAGTTCTCTTCTTCCGTATCTGTCTACTACACAAACAGACGAAGCACTGAGACTTTGACAATTTCTCAAATGTTTCAGGCTTTACTAGCAAAGGGAAATTTCATTCAGAGTTGCCTACCATACTTACCCCAATGTATGCTATTTTTACACTTTTTTTTATCTTTATGGCTATAATTCTTTGGTTTTCTTCTTACAATGGCTTCTACATGAAAGAGTTTTTTGTTTGTCAAAATACAATGTCTGTCATCAAATGGTCATTGACCAGATGCACTCTTTTGATGTAGATTTAAGAACTTTTTTTCATAAACTTAACTGCTTTTGTTTTGCTCTGTATTTTCCCTGCAGCTGTAATTGCCGAGTGCCTGTTGTATACTTTATAGAGTTGAAATAAAAATAATTACTTTTGAACACTGTTTTGATATATTCAATGTCAAATTTCTAATTTTATACAAGTTGTACTTCAAATCAAAATGTAGTCATATTTTATTTTATGATGATACGCACTGACACAATCTAATAATTGTTAGAGAGGACTTCTAGAGTGAATACTCTTCTAGCATTAATGCAGTCATGTCCTTATTTAAAGTATGTACAAGGTGACCAGTCTGAAGAGGTGAGATTGCCATGGTGACAGATATGTTAGATGGCATATTTGAATATATTTATGGTATCATCTATTTGTGTGTGTACAATTATGAGCAACTGTAAAAGAATTGACATATTTTGTAGACAGTGAAACACACATATAAAAATAAATGTTACATGCATACTGAAAACAAATACACTTCCAAGAGAAGTAAACTGAATCCCAAAGGATACTGTTTGGCCATAAATAGTATGCATATTAGGTAAATGAAAATAAATTGATGAGGATAAAACAGAAAGTAGTCTGTTATGACTGTCCCTTAAGGAGCATGTCTAGGGTTAGTGACTATGGACAATATGCCATGGAAAGTGTGGATTACTTCAAACCTAAAGCCAACCCTGTAATGTAGATTTCAGCTTTGTAAATAAAATATCCCATTAATTCTTCAACACTTTGGCAGAAGGGCTGGGACTACAGGTTTTAGGGATACAGCAGCATCCGCTGGTGAGAAATGGTTACCATCATATAGAGGATTTACAATTTTATCCAATGGCTTCCATCAACCACACTTTAAAAACTATTCTAATGCCACTATGCTCAGGATATGAGAAATTACTGCCTGATCTCCTCATCTCTGGTAGCAAATGTGGATCTTGCAAAGTAGCAAACTTAGGGCTTGAGTTCATGTGCTAAAAGTAAAATGTGTTCAATAGCCTCATCTAAAAAAGAGGGTTTTTCCCACAAAAGCTCATGGTACTATACTACATGGTTTTCTAAGTTTCAGAAGTAAAATAAATTATCAGTAAGAAAATCTATTCTCTTATTTTCACACACATTAATTATCAATCCCCCAAATGCAAGTGCTTTTCTACTCTCGTCTACAATCTGCTGATAGAAGGAAAAAAAGGATCAGCGAGAAAAATTCACTCTGGATGGCAGACACAACTATCCCATGAGGAATATTTATAGAAAGTGTTTTTTCACTACCTAGAGCCTTTTTCCCTAAGGAAAATAATCATTACATGAAGCTTTATGAAAAAAAAAACCTATGTACCAAGGGTCCTGAGCTTTCATATCACTAGAGATATTCTGCAAAGTTACTTACTATCCTCAAGTCACCATGAATAGAGTCAGGAGAAACCATGTGCAGTACTATTCTGAGGAATGGAGCCACAATTACAAGATCCATAACATTATTGTGGCTATCATCAAGACAGAGTTTAAGGATTATAGCATAAAATAGTAAGTACATAAATCTCCAGTTGCTCCACTCTAGCCCTTGTGGTTCTCAAGTTCTATGCTAGATTCTTTCTCTTTCTTTGCCAGTGACAAATTATGGTAATAAAGTCTTCCTGTTACTCAGGATCTCTCAATCCCAATGCCTATCATCTAGCAACTAGACAAGGACAACACAAAAAGGGTTCTATGTAACCAGTTAAAATATTTTTGCCTCATTTTTATTTTCAAAACTATTTTCATGCTGATGATAGTTTCAGCAGTCCAGTTTATTATAGCTGTTTGCCAGGCTTCCCCTGCAAAATTATCAGATTTAGCTATCTTATTTTTCCTTTAGTCCCCCTTCTTTCTATTGGGTAGAAATAGATTAATATTTCTGGTTAATATTTTAAGATCCTGCCTCTCTATTTCAAATGCTTTGAAGGTGTACTGTTAAATAGAGAGCTAATACTCATATTTTGCATTGAGCCTGTGAAACGATTTTTTGCTTTCACTCAAATTAACCAGTCCCTAATGCTGGACCAGCCTTAAATGTTGAGCTAAGATTACTTGAGGTGACTGTTGGAACTCTACCTCAAACTTAATTACTTTTCCACATATAGGGTAGGGTTTTTAAAAGTATTTTTGAAAATCCCATGCGCTGTTTTGGGTAGGTCTCTTCAAATCTCTCCTTCAGTCCCCTCTCCCCTTGCTACTGAAATAGCCTCAAAAACTAACTAATCTTTAGGACTGAAAAGTACAACATGCTGGCCTCTATTTGAAACTTGTGTTATTGCCACAAGAAAAACTAAGAGGAAGGCTGACATTCTCCTTTACATGTGTTTTAGAAGTAATCCAAACTCTTCGTGATAAACTTTAAAAACAACAAATGGTCTGGTAGCACTTTATAGATTAATAACACATGGAGATGGTATCATGAGCTTTCATGGGCACAGGTCATCTGAAGAAAGCTCATGATACCATCTACATGTTTTGTTAAAGTGCTACCAGACCATTTGTTGTTTTTTTAAGTTTATCCAGTACAGACTAACTTGGCTATCCCCTGAAGCTTCTTAGTCAGGGGTGGGGGGAGAGAGAGGCAGGGACTCTCTACCATGCACAAACAACAGAAAAAAGTGCTTGAACACTCAGGGATATCTAAGAAGTCAGCAGAAGCAACCCTCCCCGTGACCCAACAGTCTCTTTCACCAAAGCATTCATCCACATGTAGAGCACGTGGGGCCTAGACAATGGCTTGGCTATATGTTTAGAGTCAGTCTCTTTCACCAAAGCATTCATCCACATGTAGAGCACATAGGGCCTAGACAACGGCTTGGCTATATGTTTAGAGACCGTGCCAACTTGATCCCATCCCTCTCCCCTCATAAAGAAAATGGAAACCAGCAAAGGCAGATTGCTCCCCTCATAAAGAAAATGGAAACCAGTAAAGGCAGATTGGCAGACTTATCACCTGCCCTAATACTGAAGTGTAATTATGGTCTGAAAAAAAAAAAGCCTTACTTCCCCACTTCAAAAATAATCTGTTGGTTATCCCTCACATAGTGATCGGTTTCTAGTCTTTAGTCTGTTGTTTCAAATCCATTCACAGAAGGCTTTGCAGACACCTTATCAGCCTTAATTGTGACACCACTTAACACGTCTAAAAAATAATCTTCCCACACTAACAAGACCAAAGTCAATCACGAGCCATGCTTCAACATACCGTCCTGCTCGCAACTATGCCGTGCCCGCATCCCAGAGTCCTGACCTTCCACTAGCAAGCTGTTGGTGTCCAGAGCAGGGCGAGTTCACTATTTATGCATATACGTTTTTATTATTAAAACGTTTCAGGGCTGCAGCGAAAGGCGGGTCCCACGCGTTGAATGAGCTTTTCATTTGCACTTTAAAAGTGACGTATGAGCATGTATAGTTTGTGCCGCTTTCACCTGCGGGTCTTCCCCAGAAACCCCGGGGGGTTCCGCAAGCTGACGCTAAACGCCCACACGAGGGCGCCGAGAGCGTTACTGTTTAGTCCCCGCGCCAGCAGGCTGCAGTCCCCAAGAAACGCTTCACACCGAGCCGCCCTCCCAGCTCAGGCAGGCAGAGGGACTGACCCTGCAACCCAGCAGCGAGCCGTGCACTGGCGTGTGACCGGCTTTGCGGCCGGGCAGACGCTGCCCCGAGGCTGGGCTGAGCACAGTGTCTGCGCAAAGCCCGAGCGAAAGGACTGCTCAGGGCCTCGCCATTGAGGCTCACAGCTGATTAAAACCTAAGGTCCCCGGCGCCTTTGATGTGCGCTCATCAAAGCGAGCCAGTCGGCTAGCTTCGCTTGACGCGCAGAGTAAACACAGCCCCGGCCCCAGAGACGGCGCTGAGCCCCGTTGTGCGGGGAGCCCGGCAAGCCAAGTCCAGCGAGAGCTGCGAACCAGCCCCACCAGTGGGCTCGACTAGCTGGCGTCCAGCTCACAGCGCGGACACTGAGGGGAGGGGTGTCACTTCGCCTTGCCCATCGCCCGGACGCCGCGCCATAGGGGTGGGGGCTGCAATAGGATGTGTGTAACGTGCAGGCTGGCACGGCGCCGCCGTAGTAACGACGCGCGAGTGAGGTGATTAGCCGGGCATGTCACTGAAGTCCAAGCCCAAGGCCGGCACTGGCCCGTACCGCAGGGAAATCCTGCTTTGAGAGCAGCAGCGGCGGCGACACCTGCCTTCAGTGTGTGAGCGCGCGCAGCCAAGGGCGGGAATAAAGGACTCGAGGATTAAAGCGATACCTGTGTGGTCTTGGGAATTGATTGTGTCAGACCTTAAAGGTTCCCGCTGAGCGAACAGTGCTGCGTAGTACAGTAGCTGAGTCCTGTAGTGGGAGTCCACTTCACCCACACAGCCGTCAGCCTCATCTTTTCACACCTCAGCACCCTGGCTTCCCTAGGCGCTCCCTTATAAAAGAATCCTTACTCTGCCCATAGAGCCAGTTAGACACCACACTCCAGAGATGTGAAGAGACGCGTTGTGTATGCAACACGTGTCCCTTTCGTCTTGTTGGCCCAATAAATGGTACCACCGACCTCACCCGCCTTATCTCTCTGAGAGCCTGGCACCCACAGCTATAGCGCTTGAGCGCCGTAACTCGTCAGACGTGACTCCCCCTGTTCAAACAGAGTTTCTTCCGAAGGGAAAAGCCTTAATATGCTATTCTAAGCTTCTGTGTATTTCCTGTCATCCGAGATAAAATTGCTTGGAAAGTTTAAGAGGACAAGGCCCGATCCTGCCTCTAATCAGAGCAGTAACTCTAGAGGAGTGAACTGTTCCTTTGAAGTCAATGTGCGAGAAGAGGCTACAACTCAAGACCATTGATTGTATATGCCGCCGTGGGATGGTACAATGTGTTTTGAAAGCCCCAAACAGCATTACTAGCTCTATTAAGAAGGGAAATAGCGTCCTTTGGTACCTCAAAGCCTGCCTGGCAGGTGGAAAGCTTACAGTTTGGGCATCTTAAATGTGCAGTCCCCCCGCACTCCTCCCCCGCACTGTTCCCTCCCCTGCCCCAGAGGCGGCAGGCTCGCCCAAGAAATATTGTTATGAAATTTTAAATAAATCGTAGTAACCTCATACGAGCACTTGCTGCTGCGGTTATTTAACATCCGACTAGAGCGGGAGAGTAGCACGAGTCAAGTGCCCTTCCCCATCCATGAGGGATGCTAAGGCACCTCCTTACCGCAAAAGATTATTTTGTAACTGCATCCCTTTGCATTGTGGACTCAGAGTCACCCTGTAAATTATGTCCTAAAGTTATGAAGTTATGAAAGTGCTACCCAGCAGTGCCTTCTTTACCTACAGTCAAGAGGACCGGCAGCTGGGCCTTATCACAAGGTGTTAATCAAACTAGATTTGTTTACAAGTCTTAGAGGGGTAGCCGTGTTAGATGATATTATATAGTGCCACAGGGTTACTGATTGTTTTTAAAGTTACAGACTATCTATATCTAAATATAATCATGAGCTTTCATGGGCAAAACCCACTTCTGAGGCTCAAGTTCATCTGAAAAAGTAGGTTTTGCCCACGAAAGCGCATGATAATATATATATTTGTTAGTCTCTAAAGGTGCCACGGGACTACTCTTGCTTTTAGATTTGTTTTAAAGGGCTATTTAAAAGTCTATTTGACCCGATAATATTAATTTGTCAAACTAGTTAAACATACAACGGAGATCAAAGGCTAGTGCAGCGCCAGGATGCCGAAAACAGTGTGTCTCATTATAAGGAGGGGGCAAATGCTGCCAGTTGAGAAAAACATTTGAATAAAGTTACAACAAACTTCTTTATATGGGGACCAGACTTCTTCAGATTCTATTTCGCTTGTCTACATTTGTACAGGCTAACCCATCCTTGCGCTAATTTGCAACTGACAGATGCCAGGCCCCCTCTAAATATCCCATCAAAGGGTAATTAGAAAGCGTCGCCTTCATTCTTACGCATCGTTTGATGTGGAAATGAGGCGTGTATTGTTTTGTTCCAAGATTATTTACAGCGAAAAACGCCGGCTCAAACAGTACCCTCGGGGAACACGACTGAGCCCCGTTAAATTGCTACCTAACAGAGCCGCGCAATGTTCGGCTTCCCAGCTCCCCCTTTCCCCAATACAGAGGGGGGGGGGACTGGAAACGTGGATTGGGCAGCTGATAGCGGCCCAGATACGGCTAGCGGCCCCAGGAAAGGCGGGGTACGGCGCTGTGACACAACACGGGCTGAAAGGAGGGCTTTGGCTCACAATTGTGTATGCGATTCCCACAGAGCGGGCCGCCCTGGTGCCCGCAGCCCAGCTCAGCGGGAGACGCCGCTCTGAGCTCGCAGCAGCCGACTGGGAATTCATTGATAATTGCCACGCCGGCGATTGCGAAATCCCTATCTTGGGACTCGGCCAATGAAAGAGCCTTTGTGGGGGGCAGCAGCGCAACCCCCCGCGGGGCTCGCTTTGAAGTCCCAGGCTGGCCTGTGGCGCCCTGCCTCCACCCCGTGGGGGCGGGACCGAGCCCCAGCCCCAAGTGTATAAAGGCAGCACTAGCCAGGTAGGTAGCTCCCAGTGGCGGGTAGCTGTGCGGGACTTCTCTCCGCACCACGCAGGGCTTGTTGGCTCCAGCGGCGCCCTGCCCATCAGGAGTGGAGCTACCGCGGGGGGGGACCCTTACCTCGTGCGAGACGGATCCGCGCCCGCGTTGGGATGCTGCTGCTTCTGTGCGCGGAGGGCGCTGCCCGCCTGTGCGTGGCGCTGGCGGCCGCTCTGTGCTGCTCCGCCTGGGCCGGTGCCGCGTTCGGCCCCAGCCTCAACTCCAACGCTATCAAGAGCCTGCCGCCAGGCGGCGCCACCGGACCAGCGGGCTCCTCCGGCAGTGCCGCGCCCGCAGACCCGGTCCTGCTCGAGGAGGGTAACAAGCACCAGCCCGTCGAGCCCCATCAGGTACGTGCCCTCCCCGTGAGCGGGGCGCCAGGGGCTCGCCTGGCCCCCGGCTCACTGGGCTGTGTCTCCCCTGCAGCCTTACACGTGCTCGGAAGACGAGGACTGCGCCCCGGACGAGTTCTGCTCCAGCGCTCCGCGCGGGGCCAGTCCCGCAACCGCTCTCTGCCTGGCCTGCAGGAAACGCCGGAAGCGCTGCCTGCGCCACGCCATGTGCTGCCCGGGCAACTACTGCAACAACGGTGAGGAGCGGGCCCGGCCGCAGGTGCAATGGTTGGACTCGGAGGGGATCCCGGGCGCGGGTGTCTGTGCGGTTCCTGACCCAGGCTGTGCTGACTCCTGCCCTGTTTGCCCTCGCAGGGATGTGCGTGCCCACGGAGCAAGGCCACTTCAACCCCGGGGAGATGGAGGAGACCATCATCGAGAGCGACCATAGCATTCCAGACCTGCATCCCAAAAGGACCACATCGTCTTCCCGGCTACCCCACCTGAAAGGTAAGGTGGCTCCTACAATGCACGTGTAACTAAGGGGGGCGGGTGGGAGTAGTTCTTCCCCTTCTCCCGCAAAGTACTAACCTCATCTTAAAGGGGTTTTAACTGAGGCACAGCCCAACCCCTTAAAAACCATCCTGAGGAAGCAGTGAGGCTAAAGGCAGGGATCCAGCTGCTAGTTAGTCTGCAGCTCTCCCTTGCTCAGCTTTCTGACAAGCCCTCTAGACAGTCTGTCACTGTCCTGCAGTTGTTAAAGTTGCTTCTGTTTAGGTCTCCTGCACTCCAGACAACTGACCACAGACTTTTAATCACTTTTTTCCCTTTCCAAGGTCAGGAAAGTACCACCTGCCTCCGCTCTTCTGACTGTGCTGCTGGATTGTGCTGTGCTCGTCACTTCTGGTCCAAAATCTGTAAACCTGTCCTTAAGGAAGGCCAAGTATGCACCAGACACAGAAGGAAAGGCGCTCATGGCCTGGAGCTTTTCCAGCGTAAGGAAGGCCAAGTATGCACCAGACACAGAAGGAAAGGCTCTCATGGCCTGGAGCTTTTCCAGCGCTGCTACTGTGGAGAAGGTCTGTCCTGCCGGCTACAAAGAGATTATGCAACCACCAACTCTTCCAGACTGCATACCTGCCAAAGACATTAAACACCACTCCTCACTGTGATGGACTTGGGAGAGGTTCTCTGGGCTCAGTGCATTGTTTGTTTTGGCAGCTCCACTCTAAGGATGTACAGATTCAGAGGTTACACTAAGTATTCTGCTATTTCCTCTTCCTAGAGCTGGAGTATGAGGCTTGTTTCTTTAGGAAACTACTTTGTGACTAATTGCAGTAAATTACTGTGTTGTAAATATTCAAATGCGGCGCTTGCTTGTACATATTCTAGAATTTTAATTTTTCTGAAGGTGCTGCATGATCTCTAGTCTGTTATTGTGACACATCTTGTACACACTGATTTTATATCTGCCTGAATCTATGAATTGTCCATGTGAAAGTGAAATAAATAGGATTTTTTTTTCTAAAGCTGATATTTACTGAAACTTCTCCCTACCAGTAATCTAAATGAAGGCCAATCTGAATTCAAGCTTAAATTATACTAATAGCTTGCTAGCTCTACACCTTGATGTTATCCATGGATATACACTTATCATTGTTTCTGACATGCAAGTGAACTGAGATGATCCCTCTTTACTTTAGACCTCTTTCCATGCAGATCCCGGAGTTGATTAAATATGAATGGGGAGGTTCCTTAACTTGAGGACTGTTCCTTTTCTCTCAGAATAGTTCAACAGTTCTGGAAAGGATAAATTCTAATGTGTGGGTGCTCTTAATAGGGAGGAGAGGCTCAACTTTTTCCCCAATTTGCTTTGCCCTGCTTGTATTTATACATAAAACAAAGAACCATAAATTAGTGTGGCCACAAACAAAATGCCTTCAATATACTTTCCATCAACGTGGAGATAATCTTGAATACAACCTTCAAATAATGTGACAGAAGGCCTGAGTAAACTAAAACCCACTCTCTGAGGGGAGAGAGTTGCATCATTGTACATTTATACAGTAAGGTACCTACTGGCTAGCTTTAGTTCCTGTGTCCTTTCCTTCCCCCCCTCCCCCCCTGCACACTGCATCATACTCATTAAATCAAAGAAAATGAATGCACTTCCTAGACCCCCTACAGCCAAGGAGACACTCAGCGTGTATGAGTTCTATTGACTCCTCTTTAATCCAACCAAACATATACAACTTCTGTGACAAGTCACTTTCCTTCCAATATGTTCCCTTTTGTAACATTGGCAGCCCAGACTCTTGGGCACCATATAAAGGTTGGCTTAGTTGACGTTCACAATCTTTCTTTTCCAATCACTGTTTTGCTTTATTTATCCTCTGAGACTAACTCGCTGTAACTTCCTCTCCTGGGATGTACGAAGCACTTTATTAAATGTGACGGCAGCTTTAATGTCCTGTGAAGTGCACTCACATAAACATGCAGAAATGCATGTTGTTTTAAGATTACTGAAGTGAGTTCAATTTCATCTCAAGGGGCTTCAGCCAATAATGCCTATAGCATTAGGGATTGCTATTTACTGCGCACTAGAGCCATATCAAAGCACAGGAAATTGCATGATGGGATGCTGACGCTGCCTTTTAGTGGTAAATTTTATCTCTGATTGAAATGCACTTTCCCCTTGCAGTGCTTTAA